GATGTACACTCTCTCGTTGAGAGGGCGACGAGCAGAAAGGAAAGTTGTCCGACCTTGCTCTTCCTCCCCACTCCAGTTATTTTATCGTATATGTCTTATATGAACCCCTATCTTGTGGCAATCCGTAGCTGAGAGAATCCCTCGGCAGCGCTTCTCTGTCCCCTCCTATTCAACCTCTAGGCTATGTGGAACTATGTCTTCTCTGCGAGACTGTCCCTCTGCTACTCTGGTCCTCTGCGCTCTAAGCCTAAGCCTGGGTCCGGGACAGGTTATAGAGGCGAGGCCGAGTAGTCCCCCTTCCAGTCACGGTTAACGCCAGCCTCTTTCATAGTCTGGCGACAGCAGGTGCGGCAACCGCGTCGCTACAGCGCGCTTCCTCGATCTATAGTTTTGTGATCATTAGCTGACTTACGGTTTGTTCCAATGCGGATTTAGTTATACTTGTTTCAGACAGCAGGCCGAGTATGCGCATGGCGTAACGAAACGCACACACAAGGAGATTGCTCCCGATTATGTTGTGGAAAGGGATTCAAGGTCTGTGATTGCGTACTTTCTAATTTACCGTATCTAGAAATCGTAATTCGCGAAATGCGGTAGTATGAACGCTTCCTGTTTCAGATCACACACGAAGTTCTTCATTACAAATGCGATTGTAAGTTTGTATGGTGTTGTAAATTGATCTGTAAGGATTGCCTACAACATCGATGGGTTTCAACATGCAACTGAATGTGCCCATTGTCACATTGTCTGTCCCAGAAGTCTCGCACCAAAGTCTCTGAGACTTGCGCCTATTGTGATCTCCGTGTTGTGCTTTTCGTAAACTCGGTCGCCAAGCGTTCAATGATTTGACTCGACAAGACTCCCTCCTAGTTGGAGTCCGTGTCAACTTTGAGAGACGAATCGATACATTCTTCCCTAATCGATAGTTCCCAGTGTATTGATTGATTTTAACGTTTGTGTATCGTGTAAATTGTTTGTGAAGAGAATTCCATGTGCCTCTTGTATACGGGTCTTTCTGAATAAACATCTTCAGTTTGGTTTTATCGATTTTTTTTCTCTTTCTTTCTGGAGGAAACCTCCTCACGAATACTTCTAACAGTGCGTCACTTGGATTTGAACCGATCGATTAGTACTGGTGAGGAACGTGAGACATCGATCAATATCGGTGTTTGAGGGACGTATTGTTCAATTTCCGACGCCTTTGCCGTTTTTTGCATGTACATGTCGACGAATTCAATTAAATCGCAGCGGGTCGTCGCACTGGTTCAAGGCGGCGGCCGAAGCGGAATCGCCCACTCGACGCCACCCATCTCAGAAGGGACTTAACATTCCCCTGAAGGACCAGTGCGAGGGATTTCCCTATAACAGGGAGTTCTATCGCTTCACTTTTCATCTTTGGAAACGTGGCTTGTATAGTATTGCGGCACAAATCTGCGTGGAATCCACGACGAGCGGAGTCGTATTTGGGTCATAGGGGGAAATGATATGCACTTGGCGTGCTGGCTTTTGGCTCGCTGAGATAGGCCGCCTATTAGTGCGAGAGGGTATCTGGAGATTCGTACGCCACCCTTCCCCTTTCCTCCAGTCGAGGAGCTTTTTTTCCTGGGAAACTGTAGTAAAAGGGCACATCTTTGTTCGAAGCAGGGCACATCGTTGTTGGGAATCCCCAAATAGGAGGGGGGTCGTATTTGGTCGCCAGGAGGGGGGTCGTATTTGGGCTGAGAAAAATTTATTTTGATAGTTGATTTTTCTCGCTTCACGGACGTTGTAAAGGGAGGGTCGTACTTGCTCATTGTTGGGAAGGAGGTGGGTCGTATTTACTTTTGGCGCTTCCTAGGAGTGGTGGCTGACCTTTTCGGTGATTTTCTGATTTCTATTCACCATGTCTTATTTATCCCCCTTGCCGCATCCCGCTCGACGGCTGCGATTCCCTGAGGAAGGACGCGGCCGGAGGGAGGGGCTCGTACCACCTCCCCCCAAAAAGAAGGGGGAGGGGGGGGGCACGGACTCGTTTAAAATCCCCCAACCAATGATGTGCCCTGGTTTGAAGAGCTTCAATGAGGGCGCTACGGAGGGAGGAGTCGTATTTTCCCTCGAGCGCGCTATAGTCGGCGAATCAAGGGTTTACTGTTCCTGATAGTAAGAATCTCTTTAGTAGTCGCTCAATACGATTTATGGAGCGTCTATGAAAGTTTCGGACGTATCGTAGGAGAAAATAGCGAGAGTGGGGCGTATTTAGCAGAAAAAAATTCCACTTCGCGACGATGTGCCCTAGGGGTGAAAAAACTGGTGATGTTAAACCTTCGCCTAGAACGGGGAGTTGTAACAGCGTAGAAGTGTAAACAGGTGGAAGAAGTTCAGGTATCTCGCCCTTGCATGCATTCAGTACTCTTTGTTCATTTTCCATCCAGATGCCCCTTGCTGTAAAAAGAGGATAGGCCAGCTCATAGTGAGCTAAGCTTATAGTTAGGTTTGGGTGGAGAAATGGGCTACCATTCAGTGCAATTCGATGAATGTTATTGTTATTGTTATTCAAGGTCGAAACAACTTCTCAACGTCTCTCTGTAGTCTTTGAAGGTAGTTATGTACCGTTTATTGCAGACATTAAAGTAATAGAAGAGCATGCATCACAGAACAGTGTCTGTATTGAGTGAGTATGACGATCGGACACGGCAAACCTTGTTCACGTGGAAAATGGGGCTTTAGGTCCGTTCTTTTTTCAAGTGAAATACTGCTCACTTGCCTCGTTCCTAGAATGGCTCATATTTCGAATATAATAAAATCTGCTACGTTGTTCAGTCCTTCTGTTATGTGCCAAGGATACCTGCCGCTGGAATGCGCCATGCTAGTACCGTATATCGAGTATCCCACCTTAGCACCTTCTTCACCGACTTGGACGTACGCCAACTACTATGGAGTACTATCCTCACTGGAGCTTCGTCTTGGGGGATGAATAGCGTAGAGCCGCTTGGGAAGTACTTGATAATGGGTCTCAGGAGAATGACATTGTTACGACGCGGCACCACATACGCGGCAGTCGGAACAAGATCTAATTGGTTTTATGTGTAAATGCAGAAGTATGTCATCTTCTGAGAAAATACTGGCTAGTTTGTAGGCTTTGCCGCAACGTGGACGTCTTGAACCACTCGGATTTCCCGAACACTTCTGCCAGTATTGTAAGTTGGACAGTACCAGTGAGGACTGTCGCTACAATGTTGTGATTCTTGCGACGCGTTACAAGACGTAACCTCTTGGAAACCCCAGAAGAGTGGAGTGGAATGAGTCCAAGGGCGACCCAAGCGCCAAATGACTCGTTCACATGCTGTGTAGCAACAGATGCACTCCATATCCCGGAGATGGGGTAGGCGTGGCTGCAGCCTTAATCCGAATACGATGAGCAGCGCTTTTGGTGGGATAATGCCGTTGTGGGAAGTGGGCCGTACTAGAGGAAGAAATGTGGTAGGTCCCATTTTGCAAAAAAAAATTTCCCCAATGCAAGGACTGCCCTGGTACCAGTGGGGGTTGGACGCATGACCCATGGCCCGCGAAAGGATAATCAGCACTAATTGCTTGCTCTCATTTATAAAGAGTTTGTGGGAGTTCGTGCCCTGTCACACCGTTCTACGTGCCTGACCAAACGCGCTATGATCTCTTAGTCCGTTATCGATTTTATCAGATGTTCTAAAATCATGCCTTTCTGTGGGTAGGTTCATTTCTGTTTTGTGCTTGTACTCAACGGTACTGTTAAAGCTGGTCATCTACTGAAGTT